CCGACGGCCCAGTGCCAAAGGCACGCCAGGACGAGGGGTCCTCAGAGAGATTGGATCCCGTCGAAGGGATGGCAGCGCAGACCAGGCGACGTAGAGAGGTGCGCACTGCGAAATCGGAAAGCTCTAAATCGAAGGAAATATGGGAACGGATCAAAGTGTGGCGCCCAAGGGGATGTTGTCAAGTCCCCCGTTGCAAAGAGGTCGCGAACAAGAACAACGCGCAGCAAACAGCGCTCGAGCGCCGCCAGTCATCAGATCGCGGCTGCGGGTACGACTGGGAGGGCGTGGCGCCGAATAGAGGAGCAAGGAAATGCCAAGAGAGAGGACCAAATGGCTGCTCCAGGAGAGAGCCGAAAATCAATACGTCGTTGCATGTGAGGCCCCCTGAATTTCAAGCAAAGTTGGTTCCACTCCCAAGCGAGTCAGAAATGCAGCGCAATGCGTTGACGCATGTTGGCTTACAAGTTCAATGGCTATGGCATCCGAATGCAATACCGTCTCTGCCAGTACTTAAGAAAACGAGAGGGTGCGGACAGTGTCTTCCTCCCTCACAGTATCTACATATCCATCGGACTCCCTGGAGATATGTTGATGTTCACGCCTGCGGAAGAGGCGTGCTACAGGCCAAAGAGCGCCAAGCACGTTTCCGAGATAGAACCGAACCAGACCCAAGCAATTAGAGGTAAATCTCGAGCTCATAGTGCCTGGGAGCCCATCAGCACGCTGAACCGATGGACCTTGTCACGACTTAGAAGGCTGATGAAAACATCTGCTACCGATTCGTCGGTACGCTTCTTCCTGGGCAACATTGAAACTTTTCGTCGCGTCCTGGGCCCTGAGCCACACCGTGTCGATGCAATTGGTGTTACTATTCCCGCGCTTTGAGACCATGACTATGGCGGCGGCCGCATCGACATTCACACGTAGATTCTTACAAGATTCCGAGCTAGAGCTAAAGATCGCAAGTAGCACAATTCGTTCAGGAACGTAAGCACGCCGCAGCACAGTCAAGATGCGCCATAAAGATGAAAGGGGAAGTACCCCAAGACGGGGAGGGGGGAGGGAAGGAAAAGGGAGTGGGAGGGGAGTGGGACGGGGAAGGGGAGAGGAAGTGGAGGGAAGGGGCGGGGAGGGAAGAAGAGGTTAGAAGAGGTGAGGGGAGGAAGGGGGCAAGGGCGGAGGGGGGGAGAGGGGATGCGAGATGAAGGGAGGTCAAGGCAAGGGCGGAGAGGGGAGGGGTGAATCTTGCCTTTGGTCGCTTGGGGGGCCCGAGGAAGCAAGGGTCGCGGATCCTCATTCTGCGGCGCACTGCGCACCCAGAGAATTTGCAGCTTGGGGAGACCAGGGATGCCAGGCTCCAGCATGCAGACCTCCGCCACTTCATCCTCCTCCTCCTCCTCCTCCTCCTCCTCCTCCTCCTCCTCCTCCTCCTCCATTCCTTTTCCTTATAAATTCGCCGGCCCAACGGGCCAGAGGCGTGCTAAGATCTCCGGTAACTGCTCTACAATGTTTCTACTTCGCGCGCGCGGGGCGGCCCCTGGGGGTCCCCAGACGAAAAGTACCCCGACCAGGTCCCGGCCGGTCCCCGGCAAGGTCCCCGGCAAGGTCCCCGGCAAGGTCCCCGCAAGGTCGGGCCAGAGATGCCGGAGCCCTGTTACAGGGCCCCAGGACGGGCCAAGAGGCCCCCAAGAAGCCTCCAAGACGGTCCAAGAGGGCCCCGAGACGGCCAAAGATCGCCCGAAGACGCCCAACAGGGCCCCAAGACAGCCCAAGAGGCCTCCAAGACGCCCCAAGGGCCTTCCAAGAGGCCTCCGAAGAGGGCCCCAAGAGGCCAAAATCGTTGATTTTCATTGTTTTTTTCGCTGTTTTTTGCGTTCTGGCTTTTTCGGCTTCCGGACGCTCCAAGACGGCCCAAGAGGCCCCCAAGACCGCTCCAAGACGGCCCATGAGGCTCCCAAGACGGCCCCGGAACGGCCCAGGAGGGCCCCCAAGACGGCCCAAGTGCCGCCCAAGACGGACCAAGAGGCCCCAAGACGGGCCCAAGAGGGGCTCAAGAGGGGAACCGAGAACTGAAAAATCGAGCCCTCCGCCCCAGAAGGCGCCCAGGAGGCCCCAAAAAGGCCCCAAGAGGCCCCCAAGAGGCCCCCAAGACGCCCCAAGAGGCGCCCAAGAGGCCCAAAAGAGGCCCCAAGAGGCCCCAAAACGGCCCCCAAGAGGCCCCAAAACTCGGCTAGCCCACAACTGTGCGACAATATGGGCCGGCGGAATGAGCGAAGCGATTAAATAAATTCTCCCTATCGCACCCCGAGGCCAGTTTTTAGGGCGGGCCTGGCGTTTCGCCTGAGACTTCCTTAGCCTCTATGACCCTGACGCGTAAAACATGGCAACAGTTTCACAGATGGAAGGCGGGTCGCTTCAAAATGTGGCTCTCGCCTCAGCGCTGCGCACATTCGTTTCAAACATGTGCAAGAAGAGCTTCACGGATTCCGGGCGTCCCGTTTTCAAAATGTGGCTCTCGCCTTAGCGCCGCACGCATCCGCATTATACATTTGCATGAGCTTCACATTTCGAAGGCGGTCATGTTTCCAAATGTGGCTCTCGCCTTAGCGCCGCGCACACTCGTTTTAAATATCTGCAAGAGTTTCACTGATTGAGGGCGGCTCCTTTTCAAAATGAGGCTCTCGCCTTAGCGCTGCGCACATTCGTTTTAAACATGTGCAAGAGCTTCACGGATTCAGGGCGTCCCGCTTTCAAAATGTGGCTCTCGCCTTAGCGCCGCATGCATTCGCTATAAACATTTGCATGGGTTTCACATTTTGAGGGCGGCCATTTTCCCATATGTGGCTCTCGCCTTAGCGCCGCGCACACTCGTTTAAACATCTGCAAGAGTTTCACTGATTGAGGGCGGCTCCGTTTCAAAATGTGGCTCTCGCCTTTGCGCCGCGCATTCTTTTTTCAATGCAAGAGTTGCGCGGATTCTCATGATCAGCGTACTAGAAATAATTTGTCATGCAGATCCACATGGGGGTGGCGTCGACGGGGGGGGGAAGGCGAAAGTTGAGCGTGCCTGGGGGCATCGCGAAAAGGTTTTTGGAGAGAGCAACGGCCCCTCAAAAAATGATGGTGCAGGAGCGATTTCTGACGGTGAACTGTATTGAGAGGAATTGAAAAGATTTGAGAGATTTTGAAAGGAATCGAAAGAAATTGAAATATACTATCGTGGTGGCGACCCAAACTGAGAGAAATTGAGACAAAGAGGTTCGTCTGACGAGAAACTCTAAGACAAATTGAGACAAATAAGGTCGTCTGGTTCGGCAGAATTGAGCCACTGTTGTGCAGCCACGTACGTTTGGTTGTGCTTTGAACGCGCTTGGTTGCGTTTTGAGCGCCCCTTGGCTCATTCAGCGGCGGTTTGATCGCCCCCCCGTCTCCGCCATCCCCATGTGGATCTGAAGGAGTTTTGGAAGGATTCAGGATCATGAGGGTGCCACAGTAACGTAATCCTAAACATGGCGCTCTGGTACGATTCAGGATCGTCGAGACGCAACAGTCAGGTGGATCCGTCGCGTTGAAATCTGTTCTGGCATGCTTCAGGGTCTTTGAACGGTCGGTTGTCCTCCAACGAGGCAGTTCTCTCAGTGGAAAAGACCCGTTGTAGGGACCTATGAGGAGTGAGCTTGGAGGGAGGGTTTATTCCAACATCGCTGATGACTCTTAGGTTTACACTGGTCCTCCTCCTCCTCCTCCTCCTCCTCCTCCTCCTTCTCCTCCTCCTCCTCCTCCTCCTCCTCCCTCCTCCTCCTCCTCCTCCTCCTCCTCCTCCTCCTCCTCCTCCTCCTCCTCCTCCTCCTCCTCCTCATCCTCCATCTCCTCCTGCTCCCTTCAGGCCCCACTGCAACGCGGTGCGGTGCATCGTGGTTCGGCTCTCTTCTAAGGGGCCAAGGAGTTGACGACGCCTCGGGAGAAGCCAGCGCGGTGCGGTGCACACATGTCGTCCGCGGAGGACGAGGCAAGACTGGGGTGCGCGGATGTCGCTCCTGCCCGACAGCCCCGACCCTGAGTGAAGTGGCCCACTTCATGCCGCAGCCCCTGGTCGCCTGCTGATCTCCATCTCGATCGCCCCACCACCTCCAACAACCTTTGTGTTCTTGAAGGCCCGTCGCACGATCATGATCCGCCACCGTGTCTACATGGTATCGGCGTGTTAGAATACCTATATATGACCAGATACACGCAAGAGTGGCCCTGGGTAAGAGTGACCTTTGGTGCGCGGCACTTTGGGGACCGCGGGGTGACCCGATACAAGCGCGCAAGACGCTACTATCGGTTATCGCATCACGTTCGGCGATCGGGGGACGTCAGTGGGCCCGCATCGAAAGTCACTCCGGCGAAGGGTCATTCCTACGTGTAGTCGATATGAGCTGTCTGGTAGGGTTCCGTCAATCTTCGCGACCACGCCCGTGACTGGTCCCGCGCTTTCCCCCCTCCCCATTCCCCCCTGGTCAGGACACGAGTCGCGCCGGCGCCGTCTGGGAATGAAACATCCTTGGGCATTCCCAGGCGGCGCCGGCGCGAATCGCGACGTGACCGGAGCCCTCCACCCCCCCCCTCCGCCCCCGCAGGGCACGCGCATCATCGCCAGGGGATAAGAAAGTGGTCTCCAAGGGGGGCCCCACCCGCCACACCTCGCTGCGTGTATCGACCCCCCCCTCCTCCCGGGGCCCGCTGGCCCCCTAGGCCTCTCCAGGGCTCTCCGAGGCTTCCAAGATGGCCCAGGAGGGCCACGAAGGTCGCCATGTTGGCCCAACAATACCTCGAGAGGCACCCAACAGCCCCCAAGAATAGCCCAGGAGGCAAAAAGGGGGCCCTAGAGGATTCCAAAACAGCAGAAATGATGCCAAGATGCCACCCATGAAGGCCCAAACCACACAAAACAACTGAGGATATCCTTAGGTGCTCGAGTGTGTTGCGTGTCCCGGGCCTCTCAGCCAAAGATGCTTCCGAGAGCCTGGGAGGAGCCAAAGAGAGCTTACAGGAGACCAATGTGGGTGCCGAGAGGCCCCAGGGCAGCCCGAAAAGAAGGTCCCGAGAATAGAAGACGAAGAAGACGAAGAAGAGAAAGAAGAAAAAACGCCATAAACATAAACTTTTTGGCGCTCCGCGCGGGTTTCTTGGATCTGCGCTGGACCCTCCTCCCTGGCGCGCGGAGCGCGGCGCTGGAGGCGCCGCCGGGGGGGGGCCAGCGCGGATCCAAGAAATCCGCGCAGAGCGCCAAAGAGAGGGGAAGGCACCACGGAGGCCCCAAGAGGGCACCAAGAGGGCCCCAGGAGAGCCCCCAGAGACTCCCCTGACGGCCCACGAAGGGAGCCAAAGGCGCCCCCCAGAGAAGTAGGGGCAGAAGAAGAAGAAGAGGCAAGTGTTGGTCCCGAGAGGGCACCACGGAGGCCCCAAGAAGGCACCAGGAGGGCCCCAAGACAGCCCCAAGAGACTCCCTCCCCAAACGCCCCGCGAGCGGGGCCGTCAAGGGGGTGCCCAGAGACCGGGCGCAAAAGGGCCCCCAAAGAGGCCTCCAAGACGGCCTCCAAGAGAGCCCCAAGACGCCCCAGGTAGACGTTTATCTGACTACCTACCAGACCACCCCAACCCAACCCGAAGACCCGAATTTCGCTCGAATTTCGGGTTGGGGGGGGTACGGGTTTCATGTGTGTTTTTGTCCATGTTCCCCGACCCCCCCACACTGGAAATGGAGGGCAGATCGGGGCCTTCGGGTTGGGTTGGGGTGGTTTGGTGGGCGGTGGCTACCTGGGGCGTATTGGACGGTGGTAGACCTCCCGAGAGCCCCTCAGAATATATGGAGACGAAAAGTGTCACGTGTCACGGCCCTCAGGGCGGTGCTCGAAGCGTCGCAGCACAGAGTGCCGCGCCTGCACGACTGCGGAGCTTGCCGCAGGCAGCTGGATAGAATCGTTCAACGATCTCTCGGCCTCCGCAATGAACTGCTCTGCCCCGCCGCGCAGGAGGATGGTTGCGGACTTCGTTTCCTTGCACCCCGTGAAGACGTTGTAGCGGTCGCCGCCGATCTGCTTTTCCTGGCAGGGCAGGCAGACCCAGACGAGTGGCAGACCAGAACCCAGAGGGAGAGAGAGAGAGTGAGAGACATGTGAGAACGATATTAAAAGGTAGGTTGGCACCTTTCCTGCGCTGATTGTTGTCTGTTGTTGTTGCTTTCCTCTCACTCACACAGGAGGCGGTGCGCAGCCAAAACAGAGGACACATGCTGCAAGAGGGCAAGCCAACGTGGTGTAGAGACCACACGGCCTGGCTGCCCTGGTTTGTCCAGAGGCAAGCAGCAAAGCACTCCTGGACTGTGGCCAGGTGCGCGCATCTATGACACGCCCAGCAACGTGCTGTCGGTGGAGCGGTTGGCATCACCACGCGGTCGAACAATTGCCGCCAGCAGGACAGAGAACCGAGCTGCCACTCGAACAGCAAACCAGTTACGTACCTCTTGGGGAGCTGGCAACCAAGAGCATCACAAGCCACAGCGACAGCACCACTCTGGCTTGCCCCTCCGCGTCACCAATCGCTCGACGTGCACCATCGTGGTAAGCATGCGGTGGTCTACTTGTCAACACAGTTGAGACAAACAGCCGGTTCACACGGCCGCTGCGACTGCACGCGTGGAATGCTGGTGTGCGGCCCATCGCGTGGCTAGCTGCGCGCGTGCGTGCGACCCTTGCCACAAGCGACCGAGGCTATGGTAGCAAATTGGTGTTTCTCGCGCTGTGACCTGCAGTATGCACTTCCTGTCGGGCACACATAAGTATACGAGCTGTGCCGACGCAGGCTGAGGACCAGCAGGAAGAGGAACAGGAGAAGGAGTCTCGGGGGGGGGCAGATGGAAGAAAGCAAGAGGCCGACGACGACGACGACGACGACAATGACGATGACCACGACGACGACCATCATCACGACGGCGACGATAAGGGCGAGCAAGACCACGGGAGCGGCTTCGAGGAGCAACGAACCTGTTTGGTCAGCAGCGAGGGAGGGCGCCATCGCGTTTGGAAGCCAGCGGGCCGCGCTGGGCTATGGGCACACAACAAAAGCAACTACGAGAAGAGGAGGGCGGCCGCGGAGGAGGAACGCGAGAGGAGGCCCCAGGCGTAGGGAGTCTTCGCCACGACGAATGCACAGGCGGCCCCAGGCAACGATATCAGTGTGCTGGAAGTCTTGCGACCAGTCCGAGCTGCCGAAGGGCAGGACGAGTGGCAGGTGGCAAGTGGGCGCATCTCCGAAGAGGCCCAGGACGGGCGCGCCAGAGGTGAGACGATTCTGGCCGGCAGCCCACGCTATGACGCGAACCACGTGACGAAGCCCTGCATGCTGGCCAGCCAGGCGGCCCTGTTGCCAGCCAGCGCGGTCCACCGTCGCCCCCCTCCGTGGGTGGCGTACCGGCGCACCGTCGCCACCCTGCGTGGGTGGCGAACCGTCGCCCCC